GAGAGAAAGGAGATAAAGACATAAAGTCCCCCCCCCCACACACACACAGACACACACACACACACACATAAACAATCACTCCCTCATTCACTCAACAAATTCTATATGATTGCCAAAAAAAAAAAAAAAAAAAACTAACATGACATGCCACAACAAATAATGGTAACACAGCTTCGCTTCCTCTTTTAAGGGAAGTGACAGTTTGCCACTTGAAGCTCTTGATGCTACCTCCATCAATTTAAAAGAAGAAGCTATGCTATTCAGTTTGAATTTCCTTATTTGCTCTGCATAGATCAGACAATTTAATCGGGTGATTTTAATCAGCCACCCTTGCGTGCTAATCAAAGAGTCCCAGGATGCATCAGCAGAGTTGCACAGCACTGCACCCTTAATTACAAGGGCTTTTTTCCCCTGCCGATAGCTGAGAGTTTATTGTGGGATAATGTTGCAGAGGACGTGAAAATCAAAGAAGCTCCATTTATTTAGTGCATAACAGGATCCTGCATCATTCCTGAGCAATAATATATACAGTATACACACTATGTAGCCAAAAGTATGTGGACTCTACACTGAAACCTTAATAACATACATGGTGACATTTTCTAAATCTAAATTTTGGACATTTAAATTGAATTTGGAATTAACTGGTTGAGAAGTGACAGTACAAAAAGAAAATGTTATATAAAACAATAAAATAGTTTTCTTACACTAATTTATTGGTGGATACTTAATATGCTCATCATCATTGCTATTCGAAATGAATTTTTAATATTGCAATTAAGTTTCCATAGGGTTCTAGAGTTAAAAGAAGGGCAAGTAATCTATTTCTCTCCTCTGTAAATAAATGATTGCCACGGTTTTTTCTTTGTGCTGTAACTTGAATGTGCAATGTAATTACAAAGATAGACAGGCTTTCTCGTTTAATTTAAAATTTGAATGAGGAACAAAGGGTAATTAAGCTGTCTCTCATTGCTGTTGTTGGATGTGAATGACGGGTGTACAGACAATCACATCGCTCACATTTCACATTTTTAAATACAGCTCAATCCTCAACAAATCAAACCGCCTGTCTTTTTTCTCCTCCAGTTTTTCACAAATAAACTCTTCTATACAGCTCTCATTTTATGTTGTGTTTTCTTTCATCATCAATGAAGATTCATCGCTCCATTGTTTCTATGAAATTCAATTTCATTTCTTAATTGGGAATTTTACAAATAGGTGAATAAGGTAAATGTTTGGAATACATAATGCAAATTTGTTATTGATTTTATGCAGTTTCTGGAACAGTTCATAGTTGAAGAAATTGATGAATAGAAAAGGGATTCAAGTCTAACTTCAGCCAAAAACAAGTGGGTCTTCATCCATTTCCTTTAATTTTTTTTTTTATCTGATGTTTTGCTTTGAGAAGCAAGCTTGCCATGGCAGCACCATCCACCATAGTAGAAAATGGAAGTGATTGCAGGCCTTCAAACAAACCAATTCAACCTTTCCCTTAGTTTGCAATTGTAAAACTTATGAAAAAAAAAAGTGAGAATCAAACATACCGCGGGCAAGCTGAATTTGTAAGTGAAAAATTCAGAAGGTAATAGATGGGAGCAATGCAACAGCATCTCACTGTCCACACACCTCTTGGGTGAAAACAAAGGAGACGAGGTGACTGGCGAATCCTGAAAAGAATAGGCATGAAATGCTTAAGAGCTGCTTTGTCACGAATTGTACTTCCAATAATGAAACAAACATGGGAGTCTGATTTTCCTCACTTCCAAGATGAGAAAGGGACAGCAAAAGAAGGGATTTTTTGGCTGCGAGGAATCCCTAGAGATGAAAAAGGCAAACCATGGGATCTATAAATTCGATATTAGCATGGCTCACTGCTGTTTGGACAGTAACTTCCATCAAAGTTATTCTGAATTGCCAACATTATGGATTGAAAGTACATTACAGCTGGTTTGTTGCATAATAACCCGTAACTTCAATCACTAAGCAAAACATAGCTTCTCCTCCCTCTATTGGTGTTATTATCTTCATATTAAAATAGTTTATTGTACCTAAATGCTGAACCAACTACATGATATGCCATATAATTAACATCACGATAATCCATTGGAAATTTTCACCTCAGTATGTTTTGGTTTACACTAACTCTATTCATTTCAGGATTCCACGTGATGGGCCCTATACACCCCTACAATACCCTGTCTATCTTTCAACATTGGCGATCCTCCAGTACAGAGCAGACTTGTCAGTAAAACCATAGTGAGTGAGAGTTTGCATTAACACAGTTAAAGTATTGACAGCAAACATGGTCGCTAGAGTGTGTGATTTTGGATCGAAACTGGGCACTGGAGCTTTTTTCCACTATCTAGGGCAAGGCAGCTAAAAAAAAAAAAAAAATCCCACAACACTGCTGAAATGGTTGAAATTTATTTATGTGACACGCATACAAAACTAGAGGGACTGCATATCTGCAATGCAAATTTCAGTGTGGAGTAGGCTATGTCCACGGCGCAATGTGATGTCAGCGCATGTTTTCCCAGGATCAACGAGATAATGCTCGTCCAGGAGTAATATTATCGTCCATCAATGACCAGTGGCTCTCATGTAGCAGAGCAGACACTTGCAGAGATGAATATTATCAAGAAAACCCTCAATAGTTTTTACCTCATGAATTTTACATTATTTTCACAGCACTGTTGCTCACCTTTGGGGATTTTTCTTGTTCCTACTGCTAGCCAACGTCCTCACTAACCGCATGCGATGCACAGTTATGAAGCATTCCTGATTTAATGACATCTTCATAGCAGAGCTGCTATTCATTGGCAGACTTTGTTACTCGTGGACAAATATTATTGTGTTGATCCTGGAACTGCATTAAGTAAGGGATAATCAACTCGTTGGTGTGCATCACATGGCGAATAACCACCCGACGCAAAGTGGAGGGTGGTTGCCTGTGCAAAGTGCCTTAAAACCATGTGATGCACACCTATGAGTTGATTATCCCGCTTATACCATGGTCATTTGCCAGCAATATCAAATAAAAGCATTCAGAAATTTTTGGTGAAAGTTTTGCTCCTAAAATCTAAAGTTTATGAAGCAAGAGCTTACCAAGGTTTGTTGTGCTCTGCTCTCGACAGTTGACAGTTTGACAGTGACGCTCTCTAATGTTGCTATGGTTACAGGTTGGCTAGTGGATGAATTTCGAACAGTGAAACTACTGTAGCCAAATTACCTGCGCGTTCCATGGTTTTAATGCATACCTGCCAGCCAATCAGAAGAGCGTATTCACCAAGACGATGGTATAACACCTAATAAAAGATTCTGCACTTCCATAACCTAGAGCAAAAGTAATTTTCACAATGAGTTATTTTTTAAGTCTGATGCTGCGCCAACTATCCGGGGAGCATGACAACAAGCAGGAGTCTTATATTTCTTTTAGACAAACAACATGCAATGGAAAGGTTTCAGCTTGTAGCGAACATATTTCCTTATTCCCTTATCATCAGTCCTATATTCCTCCATCCCAGCATTTTTTGGAATGCATTGCAGGCCTGAATGGCTAGAATGAATGAAAAGCTGTGTGCAGTGATTATTATCCACCACCACTTTCATCTAAAACTAATTCTAATATATTACTCTATTCTAATATATTACTTTTCTATAATTTTTGGCAAAGATGTACTGAAAAATACTATTGTTGGCAATGAGAAAAAAAAAATTCCCTCAAGTATATTGAGGTAAAAATATGGAAAATAAACAAAAACACTGAAAACATTAATTTTTTCTCTCAAAAAGACATTATTATTTTTGTTTTTTACTAAATATCGTTATCTGTTTACTGTTCATCCATATGATCCAATATTACATGAAATTAATACTTGAATAGTTCTTGGTTTCTGATTTATTTCCAATTTGTTTAGTGTTTAATCTTTGCCCATTACTGTATGATTACAAATAAAATGACAGTAGGCTGACTCAGGACTCAATCTCAGACAGAGTATCAGTTTCTCGGGTTTTATTACTTGAGCTACTTGTTAGATAGTTCAAGTCTGGGTCTACCATTTTCTCTATCTATCTATCTATCTATCTCGAGAATTGGAAATTGCCCAGAGGCGTTTGGGTATCGCATCATGAAAACGAGACTACGCACAAGGTGACATCATTTGACTGAGTTGGGTAGCCCGAGTGAATGCCTACTTGGCATTGTCTAGTTAAATGAATGCTCGGGGTCATACAATCCGGTTCAGAATCACACAGGCAACTTGCCGGCAGAGTTGGAGTCGTCTTAATCTTAATCCGCTTAATCTTGATTAGATTAAGATTAGTTTACTTAATCTAATATAATCTAATCTAATCCAGATTTTCCTTAGTTTTAATCTAATCTACTCTTAATCCACATTTTTCCCATTTAATCCAATATTTTGGATTAAGTTTGGATTAGAATTGGATTAAGATTGAAGATTTCACAAAATTTGCATTTATTTTTATAAAGGTCCACAATCAAGTTTAAATTCTTCCATTATCAAATCTCAAGTCTGTCAAATCCCATGTGATCCATGTGATACTACTAATTGATGAAGTAACAAAGAACTCAAGTCCATCATCCTTTCCACTCTGCATTTGCATTTACATATGCAACGGTGATGTTTAAACTGATGCCAGAACTTGTACAACAAGTTGGCTGTGATTTCAAATAAATTGTATATATAGAATAAGAATGAAATGTGTTTGTTTTCTTTACGCTTGTATGTATTTTGTATAAGAACATGTTGGATGCTATATTCATATCAAGTTCGACGACAGTTTAATCTGAATTAATCTTAATTTAATCCACTTTAATCCTTTAGTCTTAATCTAATCTCATCCAAGAAATTCCCATTTAATCTTAATCTAATCTAATCCAAAACATATATCCATTTAATCTAATCTAATCTAATCCAAATTATTTCAATTAAATCACTCCAACTCTGCTTGCCAGACACTTGGGCAGCACATGCTTCGGCGACACGGTGGCATAGTGGTTAGCACTTTCGCCTCACAACAAGAAGGTCATGGGTTCGATTCCGGCCTGGGGCCTTTCTGTGTGGAGTTCCCATGTTCTACCCGTGTTCGCGTGTGTTTTCTCCGGGTACCCCGGTTTCCCCTACCCACAAAAACATGTCCTGGGGTAGACTGTCAAACAGTAGAAATGCCAAAGTCGAAAGAGTGCAGAATCATAAGACAGGGAACCAGCCAAAGTCATAACCACATTGCGATCACGTAAACCATGGAGAAAGAAATATCAAACTGGAAGTATAACACCAGAACATAAACTAGGCTCATGAGTAGCCACAGAAGGCAACAAACTCTCAGACTGAAAATGCAAAACTGGAGGAAAATAAAGAAAGAAACTAAGAGGGAGTGAAGAGAAAGCAGGTATCTAGGAGCAAGGGCTGCAGATGACTGCAGATGTGGCCACAAACAAGGGCACAAAGTGAAACAACTAACAGAATGCGAAGGATAAGTGTGAAAGTGCACATGAAAACAAAGACATGTGTGAACTCAAACCGGGAAAGGACATGAACACAAGAAAGTTACAGAGGGTAATTTCTCTGGCCGGTTGCTAACACACAGTCATACTACACATACATACATGCACACCAACAAACTTCCTTTGTAGCTCTTTTAGTGCAGACAGACAGTTGGCACTACATACAATGTGTTGGCCCAGTACACTAATTTTGAAGTAAAAAAAAGTGAAATAAAAACAAATGTATCGCTGCAGCTTGGAGACAGGGATTGAAGTCTTATAATTGTACTGCTGATATATGTAATGTTTGACAGAACAAATGTTTTCAGGATACTATGCACCAGAGTAACCCATTAGGTGATTATATGTGAATAAAAAGGCAGAGACAGCTGAAGTTGATTAATCTCTAGCTGTCCTGCTGTATTGAATGCAATTTGTCAGCCATTGATTTCTAATTTGTCGGCATGTTGCAGCAGTCTTTCTCTTGTTCTCTCTCCAATGTCCTTGGTCCAATCAATTTGGACATGACTGGTGCTCCTACCATCTACCCAGGGGATTTTGGGAGATAGAATGCCTTTGACTTAAAAATCACAAAAGGGAATTATAAATGTTTCTGTAGATATTACGGATTCAGTTCAGTGCTCCTTACGCAAACAATTAGCTTTGAAAAACTAGACAAATTCTCTCGGTGGATGACAGCTGGATGAATCCCCAAAAATATACTGTTCTTCCCATAAGCAAAATTAAGAGTTTGGCCTTGTGGTGGCACAACTGGAAAATGTATGGGGCCCAGAAAATTGAAAGCGGAACTATTTCATGCTCTAGGAATGTTCATGGCAAATTTTACACAATACCCACAAGTTCTGTTTGACATTACATTTTTGAAAAAGTTTGCACTAAAGGTGGTGCTCTAGAAACAGTCATAGTGTCCCTAGAACAATGTTATAGCACTTTTATGCACCAAGACATTCACACCAAACGTTAAACAGACATTACAGATCAATATCTTCCTCCTCTCTGGACCAGGAATGGTGAAAATTTGATTTGACATGAGGTATTTTTGGACAGTAGGAACTTTTTCATGGTTCTAAGGAAGAATAAGTCTGTTCTGAGCCTAGTGGCTCATCAGACCCAGTGCTTAACCCCGACTCCAGAAGTATGAAGCAACTAGAAGCATTGCTTCCCCCCCTGGATGGGATGCTAGTCCATTGCAGGTTACTTCCCTAGCTCTTAGTTAGATTTCCCTGACAATTTGCCAATACCCAATTATATACCTTGGTGGAGTGAGGGACTGTGGGAGTGAAGTGTTTTGCCCATGAACACACCACAAAAGCGATGGCAAGGACTCAAACTCAGGACCATTCCGTCCCCAGTCAAGCATACTTAACCACTGCGCTACCACTACCCCTCAATGTGAAACTTAGCCTGCCTGTCTATTTAGTGTTCTTCTCTCAACAATAAGATGAAAGAGCCCACAGCTGACTGTCACAGGAGCTCCTTGCCTCTTAGCTCTCGCTCTTCTTACTCTTCTGACTCTCAATGCATTCTACCTCAGTGCTTGCAATTACTTTCAAGGATTGTGTAAATTGCAAGCAAAATAGCTCGAAAACCCCAAAAGCCCTTGACTGAACTTTCTACTTAAAGGTTGAGGAAGAAGGCGAAGAGTATTGTGACAGAGAGCTTCCATCCTCTCTTCCGCCAGTTTGAGCCTTTGAGCTTCAGGAGGCATTATATAGTCCCTCTGGCAGCTAAAAATGTATTTAAGGAGTTCTTCATCAAAACTCTCATCAATATTCTCAACTCTTCAAAGCAATTCATGAAGTATAAGCCAGAAACATTAAAACAAACTGTTTCCAAAATATAGTGTGACCCCGTGAGGGGTTCAAGCCCAAAAGGCTGGTGTAAATTGTGTCATGAATGAATGAATATGTCCTCGGGATAGTTTGCTGCTTTTTTCAGCTCTAGACCACATTTTACTAGTCTGAAATCCATCCATATCCAGCTTTGGTCGCTTCCAACGGTCACTTGCCGATACAGTCTGGCCTCAGTCGGTAGGCCAGCGTTTAGCCCTTACGTCACTAATGGATATATAAATATTCATGTTTTCTGCTCTTGGCTGATTGAGTGACCTTTTGGCGAGAACCACCAATCGCGCGGCGCCATTTGCAGAATGAATGCTGACCTGGTTATCCGTCACATCTTGTTGTCAGAAGTGGTAGCAAAGTAGGCGAACAATTAAATGTTGGGATATACAAGTATCTATCTTATATCTGCATGTTGCGCGTATATTTCCTTTTACTTTGCTACATCAGGCATTTTACAACACAGCTAACAGCTGTACTCAGCATTACGAATATGAGTTAGCTGGCCAGCTACGGCATTCGTGAATGTTATTTCACGTGAGCTAAAAAATTAGATTGTGGCTTGCTAGCGTTTACTCTTGGAGTGGTTTTTAGGTTTTGAACAGGGTAATGTTTGGCCATATCTGCATTTTGTTTATTTCAGTGGGATTCCCCAGTATAATAAAGGCTAAATTAAATAATACTCAAATTACGTAACGTATTTCACTGTAATTGGCATTAGCTATAGCTTGAAGGGCACTGCATCAGCTAGGTTAAGCCTATGAAGCTGGTATGTAATACAACAGTTGCTAATTTATTCCTTGCCTGTCTACTTTCTTTGGAAAAGAGAAGATGGATAGCTTGTTCTTATTATTGCAACCTATTGCTGCACAATGTTTCAGCATTTTTAACGTGGATGCCCAACGCAAGATACGCTTCACATTTAATTTTTGCGTCTTATTTTGCCGCTTTTCCCCGCTTGTTTAATATCTGATATCAATCCAGTACAAGATCATAGCGATCAAATATATTCCTTTTCGCTTTAAAAACGATAAAACATCGATGGCAATAACAGTATCACTGAACATATAAACACAAGCATTATTTCATTTTGAAATTTTAATTCGTAGTTTCCCGCAGTCCATACTGTATTTCTGTATTGCTAGATGTTACATGACCGCTGCTGAGAGAGACACAGGTCTCGAACAAAGTTCATTTTCTCCTGATCTGTTGGTCTTAAAAATGCCATTGCAGCACCAGAATGTTTGGAAAATATGTGGCCTGTGAAGAATGAGTCAAATCACAGATCTCGCATGGATTTTGAGCAAATATTTGAAAGTCAAACGCAAGCCTACCGACTGAGGCCAGACATATCGGCAAGTGACCGTTGGGAGCAACCAAAGCTGGATACGGAAGGATTTCAGGCTAACATTTTACCAGGTTCACGTCAAAAGCATTCAACTTCCATTGATCTGTGTTGCCTTGAACCCCGGAACTGCTACTTGCTGCCATGTTTTATGTGTTTATTTTATTCAATGCTTGTCTGTTTATGTTGTTGTTTTTTGTGTTTGGTGGGCCGAAGACAAATTTACACTGTGGTAGACAACACAAATGTATTCTATTCTATTGTTCCTCCCGTCCTTAATGAAACGGCTGTTATTTTCAGTTTGTTCGATAGTTTAGAAGCTTTTATCCATTTTCAGTGGAATGATGGGGCATCAAAGGTTTAGGCTTCAACAGAGGAAATTCAGAACATCTGCATATTGTAGTATTCTCTTATCTTATACAGCATGAATAATTATGAATGTTTACTTGGTTCAGAGTAACATCTTGTTGCTTAGATCAAGCTCTGACCATGGCAAACCCACCTTGATCTTTCACCTTATGCCTGTTAGCAATGTTTGACAGGGTCTTGCTTCAAATAATCCCCATGTATTGAAAATAACTTCATTGTATTGTTGCAACATAATGATGCAATGTTATTTCAGGTCTCCAAAGAGTATTCAGGACTATTTTTAGATGAAAAATAAACAAGACAACTCTGGAAACCATGACACTTTGTGTTAGTTCCGAGTCAATCTGAAAATTTTTGCCATGTATCTCTACGTTTTGAAAAGGTTTAAGATAAAATCTCAGCAGATTAAAAAGTATACACTGTGAATTGGTAATGATTAAATTGCCTTTTCCTGAGAACAAAAGGTTCCTCCCGAAGTTAAAAATAACACTGGACATTTCACTGTGCATGTAATGATTCCAGTCACATTTTTTTTAATCACTGCTCTTTGTTCAAAAAAAGGCAATGATCCACCATGTAAGTCTGAATCCTGAATCCATGGCAACAGCATCTCTGACTGCATTAAAAGCAGAGCTCACTAGATTTCTGCATTCACCCACAAATACATTTCCTAGCATTAAACAGGGCATCGGCTCATGCAATCCATTCTCAAAGATGACTGTCTTCAAAACCAGAAGCAGCGCAGCCGATTCCCCCACCCCCTGTGCATGGAGCGAGGATCACCAAACCATAAGCAGGAGCAATCTGACATCATGCATACCCAACACAAACACTCATCAACCAGCCTTCCATTTGGCACATTATGGTCTCTTTAATGTCTTGGCAGAATGAAAGGAATTTTTCTTTTTCTGGTGGAATGTAAAAACTATTAAGAATGATTTAGCAGGTCGAGTGTTTATAATTCCTCAAGTCACACTCAGAAAAAACTTGC